GACTCATGGACAGATTTTCTGGGTCATTAGGTATGTATATGCACTATTGGACTATGTGTCACCATATTGCATTCCAGAATGGTTACACCAGTCTTTATTCCCATCACGAAGAGTGCCTATTTTCCCATCATCTCTCTAATTTTTGCTATCTGATTGGATGTAAAGCAATATCTCACTGTTAATTTATATTTTTCTGATTATAATTTAGTTTAAACATCTCTTCACATGCTTGCTAACCTTCTGAGTTTCTTCTTCTGTGTATTGCTTACTCATATCCCTTTCTATTTTTGAAATTGGAGTTGCTGTGTTTTTTTGTTAATATGCAGGAGTTCCTTGTCTTTTCTAGATCAAGGATCAACAAACTACTGCCCACAGATAAAATCTGGCACACTTGCGGGTTTTGTAAATAAAGTTTTATTAGAACACAGTCACCCATTCACTTACTGTCTCTGGCTGCTTTCCTGGTACAACAGTAGTGTCGAGTAGTTGTGTCAAAGATTATCAGCCAGCTTAAGTTTTCATTGTTTGGTCCTTTACAGAAAGAGTTTGCAAAATCCTGCTCTAGTTAGTAATCTCTTATTAGCATTAGACTTGGGAAATATCTTTTCCCATGTTGTCATCTGTCTGTTAACTTTGTCCATACAGCTCTTCACTGAGCCCTAAATCTTGATTTTAATGCAATCAAATCCATAGATTTTTTTTTGTCAACCTCAAGTTACATTTTTTTGAAGTTTAAAAACAATTTCTGTTCTGCCTCTAGGTTACAAAAATAACTTACAACTTCTTTTCCTATTAAATTCATAATTTTACCTTTTATGTTTAGGTCTTTACCCCATTTGGAGCTTACATTTATATATAGTATTAGATAGGGATTCAATATTTTTCTCCATGTAGTGAGCCAACTTATCAAACACTAACTACCAGACATTCCAATTAGCCTTTGTGTCAGTTTTCAACATATTGCTCATAGTTCCAAATCTACCCTTCATTGCCTGCTCTGCAAAAAATAAGATGATCCCTTTAAATATTTCTCCCTTACCATCTGGGATAATAGTAAGCTTGTCAGTAGAGGATACTGGAAGAACACCTGAGGAAAAAGAGATTTTTCCTCTTCCTGATTCCTTCTCTAATCAGGCTCTTGCAGTATGCAGTTTCTGTAGCACTGGGCTTGCAGCACGTGGCTTCTCCAGCATCTAGTGCCTACAGTGTGCAGTGGCCTGCAGTGTCCAGTATCCAGCAGTTTCCCCTTGCAACCTCTTGGGTAGATTTCCAGCAGATTTCACTGGTGCAGCTTTCCCACCATCCAGTGAAGAGGAAATTCCCTCTTCAACCCATTCTGGGTCTCAGGCTGAGG